TGTACGACTACGCCTGATCCAAGCAAAGTATCTCACAACGACCCAAAATAGTTCTCACACCTCGCACGCACGTTTACATTAGCGGCGCACGTTTGTTGACAGGACGTCAGCAATGCGCACGTTGGTTCGAGCCATTTTGCCATGCGAAATTGCATTGGTCACCCTCAGAAGTTCTCAGAATTTATCAAAGTGCAGGCGGAACATTTTTACCAATGTAGTGGTGTCAGTTAGTCAAGATTGTCGCCAGAAGTCACTAACAGTAGATATTCACAGTAACTGTTCATCCCATTTTTCACACAGCTTCGGCCGCGGCTCGATCATTGTGAAAAATAGAAAAAAACGTGATTCTTCATTCAATTTCTGACGTATAGTTGATGTATAAATGGATATTCTCTGTGAACAACTCGGCAATATTTCGATCTTGACACTCCGTTTTAATGTAAACATATGCTTGCATAAACAAACCCCGCAGGATTGTTATTAATGTGCACTATTTTATGAGGTATGTCCTTTATTCGCTAAAAGTTTAAATTCAAACGTGCGACTTGAATTTAGGCAGTTTTTTTCCAATATCTCCAACGGGTAAATATGCAACCTTAAAAAAATCCTTATGCCGCTATTTTACAGGACACATTGGCTTAACATCATTGCCTCGGCTGAAAAAATGTGATCACTCCACTCTTTCTGGTAATGAAAGATCTAAAATACCATTTTACATAAAAAATCAACATCTGTGGGGTACAAATTAGCGTGTCTGGAATTCTCTGTGAAATTTTTTGCATTGACATAGAATAGTATCTCCTCTATAAAAAACAATCGTGATTGCATTCGAGTTCGATTCCTCAATAAACGTTTAATCTTATTAGCAGAATACCCCTGCAATAAAGCTGGAGAGTATCCTTTAAGCATAATAGTTATCTCAGACAAGATATCTAAACATAACTCCTCAATAACAGAGTTATTTCTGTTCATATACGCTTGTCGTTTGTATGATAAGGTAACCTGTGCCTGTTAAAATTAACCCTGATTACCTAAATAGCCATAACCAGCAGCCAAATGCATCATGTAAAAGCTTAAACAGTAACTGTCATCAATAACATAGATTATCAGCAGCTAGATAATAGGAAGCAGTTGACTTCAATAAACAAGGCGAAATTCGTCAGTACTAGCCTTAGAATAGCCTAACGAATTTACTACGCTAACTCAACCAACTTGCAGCTCAAATCGTACACGATTACATCTCGCTAGCATCGGGCGAAACTCGTTTCCTCGTATACAACCCGGACTCCGACGATACACACAAAATCCGTACCGACACTATTTTCCATTCTTTACCAGCAAAAACATGAGATGTGTAACCGCTTTAAAAAAAAACTCGAAAACAAAAGGCAGCTGTAAATACCGTCAAAAGCGTATTAGCCAGCGAGCCACACCGCATCGCCTGAGGCCGCAAAGTCGATAGTCAGCGCTTTTGTTCGAGTTAGCGTTTTACACACTCCAGTTGCTTGAAGCCAGAATGGAAAAATCGTGGTCGACGTTTAGTCGTATCGTCCGGAATTGCGTGCCCTTGTATACGAGGAAATTGATTAAACGACGATGCTATGCGAATTACTGGTACGCATTTGAGCTCAAGCTGGGTTATCGATACGCCGTAATTAAATCGTAGGTATTCTAAGGGCGCTACGAAATACACGAATTCCCTGTATTATTGAAGTCACCACTCCTCTATTCTACTCTACTCCTGATTCTATTAAAACTTGCTACAATTCCAAAAGCCCCTGCTAGTCTTGGATTTACATTTGTACATTCTCCCACGAACACGAAGCTCCTCATCTCAAGGTGACTCAATGCGAGCCATCTGTCAATGCGGATTGACAAAGCCTACCAGTGTTCACTGACGGCATTGGTATGGAACAAAATACCATGGCCAATGGAACTCTGCTGCAGTAAGCTTTAACTAAAATGCATGTAATGGTACTTGGGAAAACTTAAAAATAGAAACTTAAGTTAAGGAGACCTGTATGCCTGCAACTCAATGTTCGGAGTGCACAGTTACTGTATTATGCAATCTTGCCAACTTATGATCGTTCTGCCAGTGTCAGTAGATTGAAGCATAAAGATAGGTAGAGAAAAAAATATAGTTGGATATAATATTGGGAACATTGGCTATATTTGGAGGTGCAACGAATCTGCACCCCAACTTCTCAAATATAGGATGTCTTTTCTCTGGTGCTGCTTATAATGAAAAGCTGCTATATATTATATATCATATTTACATGCTATATCAGGAGATAAAGACCAAATTTGTCTTATTACTCGCTATATATTAACATCAGAGCTGTATAATAGGAGGAGTTTGACAACAATAAACAAGCGGAAAATTCCTCATTTACTAGCCTTATAATAATCTACGATTTACTACGCGAACTCATCCAACTTGACCTCAAATCGGACACAGTACATTCGCCCATCATGCTATGAAATCTTTGCCTCGTAGACACCCGCAATCCGAAGATATCAACCTAAAAACATACCCACTACGACTTCCCTCCAATCTTTGGCCATTAATCGACCGTAGACGCGCTATATTTCAAAACAAAAGGCAGCTACTAACCCACACTTTCACGGCTTCACTCACGACCGAGCGCACTGTGCGCTCGCTACAGGGTGATTTAGGCATCATACGCAACACCTCGGGCGAGATATACCTTTGACCCGGTACCGCAGCTACAATGTATGCCTTAGTGTCACTACCGGCATGCGGCCCCAATACACTGGCAGTCCCTCCATACCACGCACGCACGCCAATCACTATCAGCAGCAGATCGGATTTTTGGATTGAAATCTCCCTGCGAGCACAGCCCGCCTCGCCGTGAGCGCAACCGTGGACAGTCGGTTAGTAGCTGCCTTTTGTTTGAATTATACGGCGCGCTATGCCGTGGATATTGGCCCAAAGAATATGGAGAATCGGCGTATGTTTTAGGCTGCTATCTTCGGATGCGGAGTGTCTACGAGAAACGAGTTGGTACGATTGATGGCGAACTGTACTGTGGTCCGATTTGAGCTCAAGTTGGAGATTTCACGCGTATAAATCTGTAGGTATTATAACTTAGTAAAATGACAAGTTCCCTTGTTATTATTCACATCCTCCTATAATACACTTCCTGATTTACAGCATGCACGCATGCAAGTTCCGCTATGGCACGCACCCAGACAAGTGCGCACACGTGATAAGTTTGTAGATTAGTCAATTTACCACTTAAGCCTTTTAATGGGCCTTTATAATTGCTCTTATTAGGATTGATATCAAGCCTTCACAACGATGAAGGCAGTAAGGCGAAAAAGTGCTTGGAGAAATCATTGCTTATCCTACCCTAACTATCGAGATCACTTACCATTCTCCAGCAATACATAGCCCACATCATACACCGTGATGTCAAACCGACAACCTCTCTTGTGTGGGAGCTGTGAGTACCATGCCTTGTAGCCATTATAATACTGCATCCTAATTTCTCATTTTTAGCTCATCTGATCAAGTCAGATGCAGCTGTAGAATCGCATGACCAGTCGCGTGCGTCGTCAACAGTTGGCAGCAAATCTTAACCGTCTTGACGTACGGTCACGATATTCGACGTCGGGGTGGGGGGGGATCGTCAAAACGAGTTGGGATGTCGAAGCTGGGGGTAAAGGTCAAAGGTCAAGAGATGCTAAAAGAAGGGAACATTCCTCGCCTCTTACTTTAAGGTATAGGCGAGAAATCAGAATGCCGGCAAAAATCTAAACGGCTTGATCCTAGCTTGTGGATAAGTCGGTGTTAAGCATCAGGGTAGGAAAAACCATCACATGGCAACCGAAAATGAACAGGGTCACTGCTCAAGGTCAATGGGCACAGGGCAATTTAGAACATTTTCTAGAGGACATGGTCTGACGGATGGATTGAAAAACTTTTTTTTCAGCGTGACCTAGCATTTTTATGGCTTTATGAAGCCATGAAATGTACTTCTCTGCTGACATGCGCAAGAGTAAGGTCGATAACCTTTACCCTCAAGAGCGGGTTAAACATGGATACAATTTGTTTGACTGTTAGAAAGAAATGTGACCTGCCGGGTTGCTAGTATAAATCTAACATACATGCCTGAGTAGAGCGCACAATGTCACAAGAAATTTTCAAAGCTAAATTTGGTTGAAGAAGTTTATCTCCTTAAATGCTATAATTTCTATTGCAATTCTGTACATTGTTGCAGTTGTGTACAGTATACGTATGCCAACTGCCATCCCAGGCATGTGGTGGTGTACTGTTAGTTGCTGTGTAGTTTTTGCCTGCGTTAATTAGTTACAGGTGGCAGCTCTATTTCAGCATGTAGGCTTGCGTAGGTAAATGGATGAGTGCTTACCTATTCTGTCTTGCAAATAGTTGTTGCTACTACGTACGATGGGAGCTTCCATCTTTAATCTGAAGACACTTAAACGTACGCGTCATCTCGTGGCAACTTTCTTAACGATCCCAACGAACATTCCTTTGAGAAGGTTCCTGATACCATCCCTGTGCCTTAATTCCACTGTTTCGGCGTGTATGTGAACACATTTGGGACTAACAGGGTTTTTACTAGAATCCCACCACTCCACCACAGAGTCACCGCAGTAGACGTTAGATGAGCGCTTTCGCTCCGCGGCACTTGTTAGATGCAGTATTATAGCAAGTTCTCTGATAACATTTTACTGATTGTATCTCATCATAATTGAATTGTCATTGAATAATTTCTTTTGAATTTCAGGAACTTAATTCAGCATTGCAAACTGAAGTGTGTTTCTGAGAATATATTATTAATCTCCTGCCTTAGAGTGCTGAATGAAAACTTAATGTCTGGTCTTCATGGTTGGGTTGGAGTTTCCTTGAACTTTAAATCATCTTAATTCTCGGCAATTTTTTGTACCTGCCATATGTGTACATAGGCGTGTATAAATGCTCCGGCTCTAATTCTAGGAAAACCATGTCATCAGAAGGGGATTTTGGAAAGGAGACCTCTGCACTGAAGCTAATTGACTTTGGGCGCAGCATTGACATGGAGTTGTTTCCAGCTGGTACCACGTTTCTCAACAGAGTAGACACAAACGGTTTCACATGCACGGAAATGCAGATGGGAAAACCATGGACCTACCAGGTTTGTAGCCACCAACTTCCTTCATAATAGAGTGCTAGATAGTGTAGTTGTTATTATCAGTAAGCATTTATTAGGTCAGAGGACAACAGCATGGAGGCGATCGACTTGAAAGCAGATCTAAAGTCTAATTAATACTTGAACATATTCTACCGTAACGGTTCTGTGGACTCATACCTATTAATATCACTAAAATAGGATTTCTTATATATTTCATCAAATAATATTGTTTTACTCGATAATATTAGAAAAAAAATTACTGCCACAATGTTTGGTGGATAGTGTTTTAAAGCTGCTCTCCCTCTCAAAATTCACAATTTGTCTACTCAAAGTAATGTTCTATGCAAACATTTTGTCAAAAAAAATTTGATCATATGGAACCAACACGCAAAAAGGCATGCAATATAATATGTAATTAAGCCGAATTCATATAGGTTTGCTAATATCTATTAACAAAATTGAGTTTAAATAAGAGGTTATTATTTTCTCAATGCTAATTTACTATGAGATTTGAAAAAAGGTTTATTCTGTCATCTACTACTATCTTAGACTAGACTAGAATAGACTAGGCACTGTTGCTGTGCTGCTTGCACACACTCAAGTAAATTTTGAACCAACGGTTATAGCGAACTACATTCAGCACTTCACAATGTTTTTTTGTGCTATATGATCGAGGTGTTTAGAACATGTTTATGTGGTAATTACGAACTTCGTTGTTTCAGCTTTTCGTCGGGGAATGCAGTTTTAACGTTGATCATGATCTGTTGGTGTTTGAAAATCAAATCTGTGATCCACGTGATGTCCATATTATTAAATTAATACGATGTAAAGGACTGGAAATGATTCCTATGATGGCCTATGAGATTACCCAGTAATGTAGAAAAATGTGATCAAAGACTACAGCACGAAGTACAAATACGCACAAAGAATGCTGCTTTCTGTATAAGGGGGTTTATGGTTATAGGAATAACCAACCATTGCTGCTTTATGTTACAGACGGACGTGTTTGGAGTTCTTGGCACCATTCACTGTATGATGTTTGGGGAATACATGAAAACGTATTTGGAGAGTGGCAGATGGAAATGCACAGGAAACTTTCAAAGGTACGTATTTATATGCATTTTTAGGCAGCATCTACTTTCGTTGCTAAAGGTTTATGTGCAATGTGTCAACTCTCCATTGTAATTCTGGAAACTGTAAACATACCTGTCTCACTAGGTATCTACCTATAGGTTCAAGACCTTGGTGTGTCTTTGACTAGTATTAATATTTTTAGGGAATGGAGTCCATACTGGAAGAAATTGTTTGACAAGCTATTGAACATCCCAAGCTGTGAGCAGATTCCATCGCTAGACGAAATCCGCATGGACCTTACAAAAATGTTCGTGGATCCGAGAATGATGTTGTCATTCAACAGAGCCGTTAAGCAGGCCAACCTGATGATGCTTGAACACGCATGAAGGATCTCTGCTCAGCTCCCAGAAAAAGAAAATGGGCTACGAGTCCTACTTTGACTTTCTGTGCTTAGGAATCTCCTCCTCAGCATTTATTCTAAGGAACCTGATATATTGGTGCATCTAACTGGCATGATAAAATGTTGGAATTATAAGTGACATCATTAGTGCAAGCTAAAACATACGTGGGATTGAATAACAACTTTGGCAATTCAAACAGTAGCAGGTAGGGGTCAGCTAGGATATGTTTGTACCAGCTATTGAGTTTGGTGTTGGTAAGATAAAACGTCCTTTTGTAAAATGAAATTATGTAAATAGAAAGTTGCTGTAATTCTAAAAGAAATTATTAATATGCCAATATTTTGATCCATTGATGTATTGTTGATGTGCAATGGAATTTTTACATCGCACATCAGCAAAATTTCAATGACAATTGACACTACCATGTTTACGTCCTGTAGTTTGTTAAAACCCTCTTGTTTTTCATTGTTCCTGCATTTATTTTTGTAAGTGATGGTAAACAGCTAGGTGCAGGGAAATAGGAAAGTGATAGGTCGGGAATTATAAATCACATTGTCGACATGTACATAACATTCACATTTGTGTTAATAATTATAAGTTCTTTTTACTAGTAGTGATTTAGTTATTCTAAATGTTTGTGATGCTTCCATGTGAATTGCTTTCATTAATATTCTTTTCTTTTATGAAACTTAGATAATCAAATACTAGATTTCAAGTAGATTATGCTTCGATGTAGAATGTCCTTTTTTTGTTTTTGTATGGCTTCAATAGGGTACTTAAAAGATTATTATAGTCTACTGATGTGCCTATGATAGGGTTTTAAATCTGTGTGTACTTGTTTATGTTATTACTTATTCAAGCCTGTATCTATCTAGTTTTCTACACTTTTAACATAATAGCAGCAATTAGATACATTTAATATTGTGAAGTTTACTGCAAAACATTGGCACGTGCTATTATAGGAATAGATATGTTACACTACAGACCTACAAATCTCGTCTATAGCTAAATACAATCATAAATAAAAGAATATGAAGTTGTATTGTTTTATAAACATTTTTACACTGTGCATTCACATACAGGCACGCATATACACACGCAACCTTTTTGACTAACTGAACATGGTGATGTGTGCTTTACCTGTTATGTAAGCATTCAAATACAAAAGTAACTAATGATAAGAAAATCACAAGTACAATTATTGTTACATTTAGCACAACAATCACAGAAAACCATGCTTGACAACTGCCAATGTTTACATGCTCATGAGATGGTCCTTTTCCAGAATATTATTTACAGTTCATAGCTCTGCACATTGATCTGTACATTTTGCAAATTAATGTTCCTGTAATTTTAAATGTGAGCAGTGAGTGCTGATACTATTATGATCTGTACACTAAAATTGTTCACTACGAGAATTTTCATGGGATAATTAATAATAAAATCGGTACATAACAGTGATTACTCTTGCCAATTCACACTGCCAGTTTTATAGTTGTGATATGGTATAGTACATGAACATATGTACATGAATACGTGAACATCGATGTTCGATTAGGAATGATCATGTTTGCTGCGCACGCTTTTCTATTTTCTTCTGCATGTCTTCAGATTGTAGCTGTTCTAGTGTGAGCAGTGATAATCCAAGCTGGTCCTCCTAGAAATATAGATAACTGTATGAAACTGACATGCTATTATTGCATTGCGATTATTGCTACTAAAAATCAGCAGTGTTATTATACTATTGCCATAACTTTGACAGCTTTGAGAATTCTGATGACAGCAAATACTCTGTAATGAACAAGTCTTCTAAAAGCTGTTTCTTGCATACCATCTCTGCAAATGTCTATTGCAGAACTATGTCTAGCTCTTTTACTTCACATCTTAGATCTAACACTGCTAACATACCTGCTGAGAAGTTACCGTGCATTTAGTAAATACCTATCAATACTGCTTACATCATTTCACTGGCTGTCACATATGGCAGTGGTAAGGGTGACCTGGTTCCAACAATGTTATTGCTTATTTTAAGTACATACTAAACAATGTTGGATATATCTATTAAATCACCTGTGTAAATGGTTGAGCCATCTGCCGCAGAAAACGCTTAGATATCTGGACAGCTTCCTCTGTCGTCAAGTTGCACAAGCTGTCCTTCAGATATTCTTGGATCCACTTGGGCAGCTTCCCTTTCTTGTCAGCTCTTGAAAATCTCTATAATTGAAGTACATCACAGATTCATCACAACACTGTTATATGCCAAAATCTGTTTAACGATAAGTTTAAAATTTCATTATATACAATGCTATTTTAATTGCACTAATTATATATAACTAGCAAAAAAAAAGTTCAGTAATTTCTATATGAACTACAACACATGAGGTTTTTATAAAACTTACCCTGTCAGCGAAAATCAGGACACCATAATCAGTCTTGCCACGAATAGCTCGCCCCACGCATTGTGCTGCATGACGCATTGCATCAAATGTTAGAAAATCATTCTCTCTAATTTGAAACTGATCCCTCAAATATTCCAGCCTTGCCTAGTTAATGGGAAAAAACACGACAATGTGAACAACAAGCTTCAGATCTCTAAACATATATGTATATGTTAGCTCTTGATTATATAGATACAGATGAATATATATATATATCTACTATATAATAGTGGAAGGAGCCGAAGTGTCGTTTTACGTATCTCCTCCGAAACCGTGCCGCGTGTGCTCGCGCGAATCGAGCTGGGGCCCCTTCTGGGCGTCGCGACTAGATTCCGCTACGTTAGAACGCGATTTTTCGACGTTAAAGTGACCTTTTCAGGCAATTTCCTAAAAAGTTATGTGCACGAAGAAACTTCGGCATTCATCGGCGGAAACCTG